ATTTTAATTAAAGTTTGTACACAATTTTTAAGACAATATATTTTAATTTAGTTCTTAATTTGTGCTCTTGAGGCACAAGTTAACTTTATCCATAAATTAAATATGTAGTTATAACTATTATATATTTTGTATAGGTTTTTCTACTATCGATTTCACATTGGATTAATTTGTAATTTTATAAAAAAAATACATAAAGTATTTTAAGATGGTAATGTATTATTAATATTTATTAATAATAAAAAAGTGATTATGTGATTCAAATATTTCTTGTTCTCTCTTATGTTGCTTAAGTCTTTATTGTTAAAGTTCTATTTATATTGATCTTAAAGTATTTGATTAATTACGCTTTGATCAAAGATTCTTTAACATATATCATAGTCTAACTTGTGTAAGTTAGATAGTATGGTTTGATTAAGTGCGTGTTAAAATATTTTTTATTATTGATGTATACAAATTAAATCTTTTTGTTAAATACATTGAATAATAATAAAATGTTACTGTTTTAATTTCTTTTAATAAAAATATAGGTGATATATTTTATGATACATCTTACCTTATGGTTATAAAATTGTTGTTGTGGTTGTTGTTATTAACGCGCATTTGGCTCATTACTATATGCAATAATTTTATGTTTATTAATCAGAAAATTATTTTAATTTTAGATGCAGATGTTATAATTACTAAATTGTTTTGATGTGGTCACAATTGTGGTGTGATGTAATTGTAGACCAAAATTAAAAATTATATTGCATCATATGTATTTGTGGTTCTCATGCCAAAAGTATTAAGTAATTGAGAAGTAAACCTATAGATACACATTTTATGTATTGGCGAAATTGTCTTTACTTTACAAAACACAGTGAAATGGTCTAAAAAGTGAGGTGCAAGTAACTCGTAATATTGTCAAACATTCAATAAATAGAATCTGTGGGCCTCATGCCTAACTTCTTTCCGCTTGACCCAGCTAAAAATTAGAAATATCTCACTACTTTAGGTGAAAAAGATGAAAGCACATAATTTTATATAGTTAAATCGTCATTCATCACATAATTATGTGTTTTTTTTAATGTGAGTTGTATGCCTAAAATCTTTTGTGTATTTGAGAAGTAAATTAAGATTAATGTATCACCTTACTTGAAAAGATAGAAACACATTCTTATGGTTACTCTTTCTTATATATTAAATAGATATCGAAAATAAAGAAATAATAGCTTTTTAGTCCGGATGATAGTTTTAAATGTTCATTTTTGTCCTTTAAATTAAAAAATATTATATTGATCTCACATTGATATCAAATGTCAACTTTAAAATTTATTTTAATATATCAATTTTTTTAAAATGTCACGTTCATCACTTAACTTTTTAAAATATATTATATTAATTTATTTATCTAATTAACGACTAAAAACACTCAAAACCTAATTGTTAAATTCATCCTTAATCAGACAAATAAAACTAAGATAAAATATTTTGAAAAGTTAAAACACAAATATAATATATTTTTAGTTAAAGACCAAAATGATATTCAAATTTAACTACAAGAACAAAAATGATATTATACATATATATATATATATATATATATATATATATATATATATATATATATATATATATATATATATATATATATATATATATATATATATATATATATATATATATATATATATATATATATATATATATATATATATATATATATATATATATATATATATATATATATATATATATATATTACCTCCCAAAAACTACATAGCACTTCTATGTTCGTAGGGGCGCTAGCGGCCTTAGTGATTATTAGTTGTTTGTGGATTGCTCACGGTAGTGAGACTCTCTATTTGGTGGTGTTTTGGCTATGGAGAAAACAAACTTACGTGAGGTGAGAAGTTATATATTCTTAAGTATTTCGTGTATGTTATAACTTGTCCTTCTTCATGCTAGGGATGAGGTATTTATAGAGGCTCGTGGGGCTTGAGTTTAACGTTTCTCGAGAATGATAACCACCTACTTATTCATAGTAGTGGACTGCTGAATCCCTACTTTTTAGGAAGACTCAGTTGAGTTTGTTGATTCTAAATTCTCTATGATCGAGACGCTTCTTTTCCCATGTTTCCCACAATGGGGCGAGTGGAGTGCGTTAAAGGTGAAGTTGTTCTCAATTGAAAGCGGTAGAAAGGTTTCGCCCTTAGAAGGGCGGCGCCACTTACTATTGGTCATGATTTCCTTACCTTTAGAGAATCTTTGCAAATATATCACTACATAGTCTCTCAAGCATAAGGGCTTGATAAAGGGCGAACTGCTTTAATTGCTTCTTAGACTCTTATGAGATAATATACCTTAAGCCTATTTGATGAAACTGTGAATCTCTTAGGCAAGGCA